ATATCTCCAAATTTCTTGAAATGGAGGCACATCCTGAAGTACAAAGATTAATGTTCCTACCAAATAATTAAAATTTTATATAGTTTTTTAGTTGCTCACATCTTCAATTGCAGTGGGAGTTCATTGAAAACTTGTCCATAATTTCATTATGCACGGTATGCCTTTTAATTAACTAAGTTGTTAGTAGATTACAGATGAGTCTCCAATCTGTTATTTCTGTACTGCTAAACTCTGCTACCTATGATTTCTATCCTTTCTAATATAAAATCACAATTCTTTCAGTCTGTCTGGATATATTTTAACATTACATATAGGAAAATGTTAATCTGCAAAGCATAATAAAACAGGTAATAAAAATTAAATTGTTCCTTTTTTTTTCCCCTCTAGCTTCATGCTATGTAAAGGCTCAACTGGAAAACAGTTAATTAAGAAAGTAGATTGTTACTTTTCATTTAACATGGCTATACTGGTGTATTATTGTACAAAATATTGTTACAAAGGTAGTTAGTTAATAGGTACCTAAATAATGTTAATGGATAACTTATTTTGGAAATACAGTCATTAACCAAGTTACTCCTAATAGTCTCATGACTATGAAAGTTGTTAAATGCACTTGCTTGGATTATCAGAGAGCTCAGCTGGAGAAACTGATCCACAAACCTTTCTGCTTTTACCTTGATCTGCCTGCACTCCCAGGCTTTCAGTGATTACATTTCTGCAACTGTGTTGTCATCAAGCTTGCGACCACATCACAATTTGTTTGATCCCTCAGTTTTGGAGCCACTGCAATCTTTTTAATGAGGGAGAAGTCTACTTGTTTTATAGTGTGTGTGTGTGTTGTGGGCATTGTAATTCAGTTTTTCAAATATTTGGTTGGTTTCTTTTGTTTGTGTTTCCCTCTTTATTAATAGTATGTTAAGAAGTACTGCTGCTTAAGGTCACTACTGCTCTTTCTGGAACCCACACCACTGTTTATGAGAAAATTTTTTCTGATATTCAGTGATAATCTTAAAATGATATGAAGAATGAGGGAATTTTTTAGAGACTGATGAAACTTCCTTCAACAATTGTCACCTGAGTTAAAGGAGTTTGGGCATCTTCATAAAGAGCACATTTCTTATGAAGAAAGGCTGAGGGGGCTGTGCTTGTTCAACCTGAAGAAGAGAAGGCAGCAGGGAGCCTCGTTGTTGCCTTTCTGTACTTAAAGGGAGCTTATAAGCAGGAGGGAGACTGACATTTTACATGAGCAGATAGTGATACAACAAGGGGGGAAGATTTATTTTGGATGTTAGGAAGAAGTTTCTTACTTTGAGTGTTGTGGAGTGGTGGAAGAGGTTTGCCAGAGAAGCTGTGGTGCCCCATCCCTGAAGGCACTCAAGGCCAGGTTGGATGGGCCTGGGCAGCTGAGCTAGCAGCCCTGCTGATGCCAAGGCGTTGGGGATGGCTGGGCTTTGAGGTCGCTTCCAACCCAAGCCATTCTGTGATTCTGTGAAGTGGCGTAATGCTGCTGGCTGAGCCTTTGGAGTTTAAATCAGGATGGATAGTTGAATACATAAAAGCAGTTTTTCCCCAAAGACGTGTTACATATTTTTAATTGACACAAAAGGTGGAAGAACACATTATTAGTTTCCCTAATAGCAGTGTAAGAAGAATCACTTGCATCAGTGACCAAACGAACAAGAATTCATATTCTGGGAACTGCAGGTGGTTGTGTTGTGAGACTGGTGAAAGACAAAATGAAGATCTGCATTCCTGAGAATATCATTTTCAATAAAACATTGTGTTTTAGAGCACTTTGTGGAAGCAAGTCCTTGATGCTTTGCTGACAAGTGCCTTACATAAGCTCCCATCTGTCACTAGGCATAGGAGTGCATGTCCCAAATGGGGGACAAATGTGGGACACAGAGCAGCAGCAAATCAGCTGCCAACTTTTAATAGCGCAGGAAGACATTTAAAGAAATTTGGTAATTTTGTTACTAGCATTTATCACACAGTGCAGTTGGAGAAAAAAAAGGCCAAATGCTGTAATGGTTTAAAAAAGCCAGAGCTGTTGAAACCCTTGCTGCCTACACATCTAACCCTTATTTCCTGAATGTGTGCCCAGCCTGTAATAGATGAATCAGATCTGTGGTATGGGTCTGAGGTTCTGGGATCATTTAGAAAAACCCTTTTAAGATATTTTTACTTTCTAAAAAGGAAACCCATTTAGGCTTATTGTATTTATTATTCTGTAATGGATTTCCTTAATCCACCCTCCCGTGGGTAAGAACAAATGGACACAGCAGCTGAGGTTAGTCAAAGGTTTTGGACCAAATGAAGTTTTACAAATGGTCTGGTGTGTTGTAAATGTTTGGTTTCCATAATTTACGACTGCAACGTATTCTGAAACCTACTGATAATGGCAGAGGGTGCTGGAAGGAAATGGTAATATTTCATTTTGTCTAGAAATTTAAACGTAATCATTTGTCATTGTGAATTTATTCCTTCCTAAGCAGCACCTGACAGATGAAGAAGAATTAGAGAAATTTTCATAAATCCTGACTGCAAGGACAGAGTATTGTTTCTTTTTCTCCTGATTTTCCAAAGCTATCTATATTTTACAGCGATGGAAATTACTTCACAGTTCTCTAATTACTGAATGATGAGCCGCTTTTAGGGGGTCTGAGCTGTTGCGGGTAAGACAGATGTATGCCAGTGACAAAGTGAGTTGTTCTCCCTGCAGGTTTTCCTCCCCAAACAGCTCAGTGTTGGGTGGAGTGTGTGTCTGTGCCCACACTGAGAAGTGCCTGGAGCTCTCAGCTGGATGAGGAGGAGAAGGATTCTAGCCTCAGCAGTAGCCTGTGCTTTTGCCAGCTCATTTGTGTTGTACCACTTCTCTTTGGGAGACCTGCTGCATGGATGCTGGGTTTGGCTCTCGTAGCTCCCCAGTGTTTGATAGCCAGCATCACTTACACCTGAGCTTTCTGAAATAGAAACTCCCCCTTTAGCTATGTTACAGATAAACTAATTAGGTGGTTGCCTTATTTGGAAGATCTTTCAGATGTTTAGGTGTTGGGTTTTGGGTTGTTGTTTTTTTTTCCATTTCTTATTCTTTACTGTGAAGAAAAACATGTTGTAGTCTTTTTAGCTTCATGGAATATTTATGTCAGCCAAAGGCATCAGCCTTTGGGCATAAATCTGCCCAGTTAAGTGTATTGTAGGGAACATCACTGCTGAAGTGGGTAATTGCTGCAGGTCTTGCTAAACAAAGTGAAGATTAAGCATCTGGAACATGTTAATTTTAAAAAATTAATACGTACCTTCCAGCAGGTACATGGAAAGGAGGAGCAAATCTGACAGCTGTGAGTTCATTTGCTGAAGATAATTATTTATTATGATGAAGGAAAAGGAGAAAGCCTTCAAATGATTTTATGGTTTGCAATTTATTAGTAAATGTTAGCCTTTCACAAGAAAGCAAATAAATTACAGTTCAAGATACCACCATCCTCAAAATTATTACTTCAGCTTTGGAAATAACACAGAAAAGAAGAAATGCTGGATGGGAAAATATGCATAAATGAGGCTTTTGTGTTACTAGTTCTTACCATTTTTATTGCTTTTTTTCCCTATGAAAAAGGATTATGGCTTGTAAGTGTTAGACTGAATGCTGTGCACTGCAGCAGAGCCAACACAAGTTTTCATGTGAACAGTCTTTCCCAGCTGGGCATTCTGTGGCAATGCTGCAAGTCATGCCAAAAGATTCCTGGAGTATGCGGTGGTAACTTACTTCTGTAGCATAGGTGATTTATGGGTTTTCTGAGAGTCTTCCTATAAATTATGTATTGTTTTTTATAGCACAGGGGTGGTATTTCTTCTTTGATGTGAAAGCAAGTGTGCTATTCGCTTAAATAAGACAATAAATAATCCATCTGCTGTCTTTCCAAAACCTCCGTGGTGGCTGACTCACTCGCGTCTCTGTCATCAGCTGTGGCAGATACTTGTTACGTGTACAAGTTAAGCCCTTCTCCAGTGCTTGCATTTCTTCACTAGAAATGAGTACAGCCGAGGAACTACTTGTGGGAAAAGATGTTTTACAAATTATGCTTATTTTTAAGCTTTCTGGAAGCTGAGATGCTGAATTGAGTCATGTTTAGGTCCATTAAAAGAAGAACTTGAGTGCTGAACAGCATGAGGAATGTTTTTAACACACAGATAATATGTCTCTATCAGACCTCTGGACTATAGGTTTAGTCTTATATAATAATGAATTTGTTTAATAAAGCAGAAGATTTAACCATCAATTTTAATACATAAGTAACAAGAAAACAGATCAAATTAAACATCGGTAAGGATTTCCTGGAAAATGTTCTGTTAAAGTGGAATGCAATGGAGTATTAGAAATTTGTTTGTAGTGCTGATTCTAGAAAATTTCAATACAGAAGCAAAATAGAAAATAGCATTTTGAGTACGCAGTTATTTGTGAATAGGATCATGTCTCTAAAGTCACTCAAACCACAGATTTAAATCTTTTACTTGCATTTGCCTGTATGTGAGCTTGCCTGTTTGTTCACTGTAACTTTCATTAGTATAAAAGCTTTGTTATTCCCCTTTGCAAACATTTTCCATATTTGCATCATCTTATCTTGTTCGTAAATAGTAATTTTTACTTATAAAAGGTTCATTCCCCTGCCTCACTCAAGATTTTAGATTCTGAGTAATAAAACCATGTAATTGTGCTATACGGGCTATTTAATTTCTATATAAATACAAGTCTGTCACTATTCTATTTAAAGGATTTCACATAGTTTATTTCTCCTTGTAACTGGTTTCCTGGGAATTCTCATTCTGCACAAATAAGCTGTCTTGCATTTGGCAAGTAACAGTACTTTTGTTATGAAGTGTTCCCTTTTCTATTTTGGAGTTTAACAAACTTGCTAGTTTTTTGGGTTTTTTTTTCCTGTGCATTGCTTTAAAGTATTGCCACAATTTAGTTTATTGGCTAATTTTCTTTTCATTGGCAGAATCTGAAGAAGATTCAAGAAATGGATAAAGAGACAAGTGATGAATCCAGCACAGATCTTGATGAATTAAAGAATGCTGACTGGGTAAGACAATAATTGAATACTGATTCATCATCATCAATAATTTATAAATCTTCAAAATGCTTAACTAAAATTGTTTATTAAAGTCAATGTTAATTGAAATCCTCAATTTCGATCTCCTATCCACTACCTATTCTTCCTCCTCTCCAACCGTTGCCACTGCTCAAAAATAGGAGGGAAATGCACATGGTAAGCAGAGCAAAAGAAAATTGGGTACAGAATGTGTTACTTACTAGATCTCAGGATTTGGAGTCTGTTCCACAATTTCTGTGTGAATTGCTGCTAGAAATTTTTTCAGAAATAATGAAGGCCTAAGGGAAACAAAGTTTAGGATTCTATCACTGTTACAGTTCACATCACACTAGTTGTACATCTAGAAACTTTTCTGATGTGCATACGTACTTGAAATGGCAGTTTGGACGCATGTTAGGAGAACTTTGAAATCCTTTTACTGTATTCAGTGATGAATATCACTTGAGGTGAGACTGAGGCGTGAAAAAAGTTTTCATAATGGTCATGAGGGTTAAAAATAGGGTTATATAAGATAACAACAAACAAAATGGGGTTTGGTTGATGGGTTAGAGTGATACAGTTGAATATATTTGGTGGTGTCCTGAAAGGGGAATGAGCAACAATCTGGGTTGGTATGCAAGCATTAAATATAATTTTGCTCTCTTCTCTTCAGGCTCGTTTTTGGGTACAGGTGATGCGGGATTTACGAAACGGTGTCAAACTCAAGAAAGTCCAAGAGCGTCAATACAACCCACTCCCCATAGAATATCAGCTCACACCATATGAAATGCTGATGGATGATATTAGATCCAAACGATATACCTTAAGAAAGGTCATGGTGAGTCACGAGCATTACCAGAATTTGTCAAATCTGAAATGTTACTTGATTTTTTACTTTCTTTTTTCATTTCTTCATTTAGATAGCATTGATCGTGGGTTTTATATGGCATCTTAAATCTGCGTAGTATATTGATGAGAAAAATGTGAAAGTAACAAATGAGTGTTTTGTTTTCCATATGGCAGGCAGTTAAAATTTTGAAAGACGTTCTTATCACATGCTTGAACAAAATATTCCTGTTGGTTTTATGATAACTGTAGTAATCATACCAAGAGTCCTGTCATACTAAGATGTGTTTTAGGCTTCTGCTGGGGAGAACATTTTTGTTGAGATGCAACCTAATTTATGCAATATAAATATGGCATTCCAGAATATAAAGTGCTCTCTTGTTGTTACATGAGTGATAGGTACTGTGATGGAAAAGGAAAACACACAGTGTTTGAAAACTTAAATTGCTATGATCTGCTAATAATTTTCAAGGAGTGCATTCTGTAAAACATTTTAACTCTTCAATTTGTAGAAGTACAGCTCAATTATTTTCAGCATATCCTACCTGAAAAAAAACAATGCTTGAGCAAATTGGAGAGGATTGATGAGCCTCCTCCTAGATCCTAAGAAAGGTGCTTGTAAGATTGACCTGAGGAACTCTTCTCATCAGGACTCATTTGATATCTACTGGCATCTCCCAGTTCTTTTGGTTTCTATTGTGTTCAACATTATGATGTTCTTCCTGATAATGCAGCAAGTGACTTAAAGCGACTTAAAGCGACTTAAAGTGACTTAGTGACTTATCCTTACTAGGACATTTTAAATCCTTTTGTCAAAGGCATGTATTTGGTCAGTATCAATATTCATGCCCTGCACTCACTATCTATGCCTGTTATTAGTTAGAGAGGAAGCATATTGTTAGAATATCCAGTATTCATCTATATTTGCATTCCTGAAATAAAGGTGACAAAACTTTTGCTAGTGAGAAAGCCATGTTTCCAGAAGAAAAATTCAGAGATGAAAGAAGCAGCAAGCATGTAGTTCTATTAAAGATTACTAGAGAAAATAACAAAGCAGGAAAAAGTTGGAACTATGACATGGAGAATAAATAAATGAATCCTGTTACAGTGTAAGTGCCTTTTGTTGTATGAGGTGAAAGTATTTTCCTTATCAAGGTCTGAATTTAGGCAATCAGGTTTTTGTCTGCAGCAATTTTTCTGGAGCAATTTTCTTTTAAGTCATTAGGTTAAAATATCCAGGAATGATGTCCATCTATCTTTACGCTAACAATTTAGAAAGTAGTGCTATCTGCTCCCACTGCCCACTGCAAAAGAACAGTTCCCTCAGCTCCTTAATTACTGTATGCAATCAGGATAGTAGCTGTGTTTGAATGGGAACCCCTGGGTCATCTGTTCTTGCTTTTGGCATGCTGGGCTTTAATTCATCTGTTCAGCAGGATCCTGCCTCTTCTGAGGAGATTTTCTTCATTATCTAGTAGGTCTTGGAGGCACAGCTGCTCCCCTGTTCATCCAGGCTCTCACTGTAGATGAAATCCTTGCAAGCATCTATTTTTGTCCTTCTGTCTTGCCTTCTAGGTAGATCCAAATTGACCTCTGGGCACAAACATGAATTGAGATTCCAATCAGCTGCAGGTACAGGACCTGTAGTGTTGTCTCTGAAGCAATTGCTGCCTTGGTCTAACAACTGCTAGTGACTTGCCATTAGAAAAACAGCTTCTTTCTTATTATAAGCTGTCCAACCTATAATCTAGCTTCTGCTGCAGGGTGTGCAGCAGAATGTGCAAAGCACGCGCAATAATAATGCAGTTTGATATGATATGTGTGGAGCCTGAAGGATTTGTACAGAATTACAATTTTGGTTAGATGTCATAAATACAGCATCTTTTAGCTGACTGCTGTGGGTTGGAACTAATTATATATATTCCCATTGGAGGAGACTGTCACGCTTCTTGAAAAAAAGGAAAAAATGACAAGAACCCCAAATCTGAATTTTAAAGCAGCCTGGGAAGGATGGATTACATTTCTTTCTATCAGTCAAAACAGAGGTTTGGCATAATTTTTATTAGGAACATTTTTTAATTTTCACTTACAGGTACTATTTTTAGAATTGATAGCTTGTGAAAATGCATGCTGCTAATGATAACAAGAGGTAGATCATTTTAAAGTAAATAAAATGTAACATGAATTCTTTTCTCTTTATGAACATAAGGCTGTGTTAAAGACTAGCATTATCTGTCCCTGGCTGCTCAGTAGTCAGGAAAGGAACTGTTATTCCTGCAAGGTGCATTGCTTAGGAACTATTTCAGTGTTTCAGATTGTCAGTAGTTGTTATCAGATGCCAATAATTGGAGCTGTTGTTTCTCATAAGTGATCTGTGATAGAGCAGTTATTCAAAATGTCTTGAAGATGTAAAACATCAAATTCTGGATTTTTGCAAATAATTGGTGTAAGTAATTTCAGTGACCTCTACATTTCTGTTTCAGTACATATAAAAATAATTCCAGATTCATCATCTCTGTCATTCTGGTGCAAGAGTCATTGTTTCTGTGGTTGTCACAGAAACAGGATTACTTTCATCCCAGCATTTTTTGTAATCTTTGCACGTTTACCTGAGCAGCTAAAAAAAAAATAGATTTTTTTTTTCTCCTACGGAGCTCTCACTGACAGCAAGTTAGAATTGCAAAACAATTGGCAGAGTCTTGGCTATTGGGAAATTTGAATTACTCTGACAAATTTATTTTTTCTTTTCCAACGCCTACGTGTAAATCTGCAGCTTTTAGTTTCTCTTCCATTCACAGTGAGTTCTCCTTCCTGCCCACCTCCCCTCTCCAAGATGTGAGTTGCCCATTCTATTTGTTGAGCAGTAGGCAGTTCTTACATTAGTTTTTCAGTACATGATTCTGAGGTACCTTCTATATAGTATCCAAACATATTATTATTATTGCTTAATAATTAAATTCTTAAATTATGGTGCTCATATCTCAGTATTAGAGCTTTCCACAAATGTCTTTGGTACAGTAGGATTCGCTTGACTATTTTACTGAAGGTGAACTTAGGCTTGTACACTTAAGTTATTGCTGTCAAAAATATCCAGCCATTTAGATGTCTCATCTGGGAATCCTCTGGTGTGGTTGTTCGGGTAGTTTCAACATAAAATATTTATTTCATTATAGTATTCAAAATCTTACAGTGTTTAAATTAACTGCAGTAACAGTTATAAATGAAATTTCAGACATTTCAAGGACGTGATGGATGTGAGGAGGCCATCATCAGGGACAACTCCAGCCAACTTGTCCAGTTGGGCATTACTGTGGCTGTTGTTTTGTAGTCAGAACTGTCTTTAGCGAGTGGTGTTCAGGTGCTCTAAGCAGGGAACCATCCCTTTGTCATTCTTTGCCTTTGTCACACGCTTCTGCAGAAGTTTAGGAGGTGTCCTAGGTACAGCAGTGAGCATTTTGAGGTATTTATTTAAATATTAGTTTGCAGTTGGGGCTGTTGGAATCTGACAAAAAGAATCTTGCATCTATTCTGCATCTGTGCAATGTAGTCTGATTAGACTTTAATTGGGCCATGAATTTTAATTAATTAATTAAAAGTAAAAGATGCATGTTAAATTGCTTATTACAGGAAGAGTTAGTTTGAGTGAAGAGATAGATCTAATGTGGACAGAGAAAATAAAAGCTCCCCTTCAGTATCTTTCCCATCAGCATCTTTTCAGGAGCAGAGGAGGAGAAGGGAGGTTCTGCCCTTGGTGCTCTCGGGTTGTTGGCTCATGCAACCAGTAAACATCCACTTGCTTTGCCACCAGCTTCCTCCACGTCCTGCGAAAATCACTTAAGCAGAAGTTATTTTTCTCCTTTTCCAATCGAATGGGAATACTGCTACTAATTGCACTCTGATGGCATTAAGTCAGTGCATACAGCGCCCTGAGGTGAAAGGCTCAGAGCCATGTATTATTTATTTCCTAGTATGATGTGCAGAGAGTTGTTCCCCAAGGCTGACGTGAGATTATCAGAGTACAAAATGACTGTTCTGATGGTAATAACTCTCAACTTAAGCTATCAACTTTGACATCTGATGAACAGTAACCTGGGGATGAGAGACTTAGCATTTCATTAAGAATCTGCTGTCCTTGAAGAGTTGCTCAGTCTTTAAACAGAGGAAATCAATCACATCACTTAAATTAAGTTCTCCTTATCATAAAATATCTAATCGCCACTTAATATAAATCTTTTTCATTTTAATTTTACTGTTTCTGGGAAGATGACATGTTGCATGGTTTAGCAGCTTGGTTTTCTGTGGCAGACGGTAGTTCCCACTAAGGGAGCTTGTAGCATGAGTGGGGGAACATTGGACCGTGTCTGGGGTAGGATAGCTCCAGAAAGGGTGTCCAAGAAAGCAATGAAGCAATGCAGGCAGACTCTGCACTCAATTCCTTGTGAGAGAAAGGATGAATCTTCAAAGGGAGGCTGTCACTTCCTCAGCATATACACTGGGCATGTCTTGGGTCAGCAGATCTGGTGTGGAAGCTGCGTGGCATTGGTGAGGTTTACTTAGGATTCACTCAGATGACCATATGGGAATTTAAACTCATTTTTCTGACTGCAGCAGTTAAGAGAGTTTTATCTCTACTAAAGAAAGTCAAACCATCTGGCTCATCTAAAAAAAAAATGATAAAGTGATGAAATTTGGGACACTTAGTCTAAGGAAGATAGTATTATAGGAATTTCTGTCAAACTGAAGAGCGAGACTGTTAGTCAGGTACTGTATAGTAATGGAAGGTGCCAGAAATATGTGTGGCATGGGATGTTCTCTCATCCCTGATAGGGTGCTTGGACACTATGCTATATAAAGACTGAACCTGACAAATGTTTTTTTTAAGTAAACCCATACCATTATTTCTAGCTTATAGTTTATACCTTCAGAAGATACAAAAATCTGTTGCCTTGTTTTATATCCTGTTGTATATGTAGTGAATTGCTGTCTCCTGTGATGATCTGTATGTGGTCTTACTCCTACATGTGGTATGTGAGGAAGAAATGTCTGTCTCTTCAGAAAAATATGAGTGAATGAGAACATTTTCCACACCTCTCTTCTGGTCTCTTATCTGTACTTCAGTGCCATAGCATTCTAGTTAATTTACTTTGTAGACATATTGGCAAACTCCACTTTACTCTTGACTAATATTTTAATGTGCACACGGAGAGGCAGACATGAAACATGTCCAGAGGATCTGTTTCCTACTGGGATATCCACACCAGGTCAGTTTCTCATGTCCAGAACAGCAGAGAAATTTGGTAAGCACAAAAAACAAAGGAGCTTATTTTTCATACATTGCTAAAACCGAATAATACAATCACATAATGGCTTTGATCAGAAGGGACCTTAAAGCCATCCCCAACCCCCTGCCATCAGCAGGGCTGCCCCCTGGCAGCTCAGCTGCCCAGGGCCGCATCCAACCTGGCCTTGAGCACCTCCAGGGATGGGGCACCACAGCTTCTCTGGGCAGCTGTGCCAGCGCCTCACCACCCCTTCAGTAAAGAATTTCTTCCTAGCATCTAACCTAAATCTCCTCTTTTTTAGTTTAAAGCCATTCCTCAATGTCCTGTCACTATAAGAATGTGCAAAAAGTCAGCCTCCCTCATCTTTATAAACTCCCTTTAAATACCTGAAGGCCACAGTGCAATCTCCCCAGAGCCTTCTCTTCTCTAGGTTAAACAAGCTTAGCTCCCTCAATCTTTTTTTATAACGGAGATGCTCCAGCCCCCTGATCATCCTCGCAGCGCTCTAGACACAACAACTCCACATCTTTCTTTTGTTGGAGGCTGGGACTGGATACAGTACTCCAGGTACTCACAAGGGCAGAGCAGTGGGACAATCCCCTCCCTCTTCCTGCTGCCACCTCTTTTGATTCAGCCCAGGGTACTGCTGGCCTTTCAGGCTGCAAGCACACATTGCTGACTCATGTCCAGCTTTTTGTCCACCAGGCTCCCAGGTCTGCAAGGCTGCTCTCTGAGTTCTTCTCTCATTCTGCATACATATCTGGGACTGTCGTGATTGCACTCGGATGCGATCTTTGTTTTCATAGTAGAGCTTGGGAGATGATAAGGAGATCAAGAAAACCTCTTGAAGAGTATTAGAATCTAAGAACTGAGGGTTAGAGACTGTGCAGTGGTTGTCAGAGAGTCATGGCTCAAATACATGTTCCTAAAAAATGTTGGTGCCTTTTCCTCCAAATGAGACACAAGCTTTGTCTTCATTCTCCTGCAGCTGTGATTGCAGTCCTGATATTTAATTCCATCATTTCAAAATCCTAAGTATTACTTACTGATGCTGCTGCAACTCTTGTTATTCCATAGCTACAACTACAGCTATCTACAAAGCTGAAAAGCTGTGATCTAATAAGACTTTTCTCACCTCTGTTCTGCGTATGGATTATTGTGCTGTTAAAACTGGTGGACTTTTATGTCTGGTGCAGGTGTCAGAACTCTGCAGGCTCTGTCATGGATGTCTTGAGTTTTCAGTCTCATCATCTGTGCAAATATGAATGCAAGACATGAAAATATACCTTTTTTTTTCACTTTCTCCTTTCCAGGTCAACGGGGACATTCCACCTCGATTAAAAAAGAGTGCCCATGAAATAATCCTGGATTTCATCCGATCACGACCTCCATTAAATCCTGTATGTAATCCAGCATTCTTTTCTAACGAAAATGTGGCTTTGTAAAGGATGTCTGTCCAGGGAATATGTTAAAAATAGTTTCCGACATGGGCTTTCAGGAATACTGAATCGTGTGCGTAAAATGCGGTCTCTTAAAGAGCAGTGTGTTATAACCTTGCACCAACCAGCAGCTGCTCCTGTCGGCAGCCGTTTATCTCTAAGTCAGAAAAAAATACAATTCTCTTTCCAGTTTCTGTGAGTTTTTCAAAAGAGTTCACATAAAATCATAAAATAAAATGCCACTTTTTTTTTTAATTAGAAAAAAAAAATCATGACATAGACTTTTGAGGAAGCGCTGTTTTATGTAAATATAATTGTCTTTGTCTTCCAAGGCCTCTGCAAGAAAACTGAAACCAACCCCACCACGGCCACGCAGCCTTCACGAGAGGATACTGGAGGAAATCAAGGCTGAGAGAAAGCTGCGTCCAGTCTCACCAGATGAGATAAGGCGTAGCAGACTGGGTAAGCACACAGCTAATTTTTACCAGCAGCTTTCACAGAAAACTTTCCACGTAAGAAGCACCAATATCTGTGTAGCAATATCTGTGTAGATGTCACTGAAGATAAAAATAACTCTTGTCCTTTCAGAATAAAGAACCAAAAGACTTTTCTAGAGCTGTATAGTCTTTGTACTAGGTTATTTTTAAAAATAGAGTACTGTATGTTCAGCTTGATCCCATTGTGTTTGTGACATGTTAGATAAATGGAATATCATTATATTGCTTGTTGGATATGAGAGTTCATGTTAGATTTGATCGGAATGGAATGGATGCTGGTTGTCCCTGGTGCAGTATTCCTTACATATCTTTAAGTATTCTTTACATGTCTGTTTTTAATTAATTTTGTTCTCTTTGTTTCCTGTTATTAGCATCATCAATTTTCCTCACTCCAGTTGAAAATCTGTTTTTATTTGTTTGCTGAAAGCATTGCTTCTATTTTAAATCTAAATCTTTGTTTCGTTTTATAAGTTACTGAGCATGTTGTTGCGTATTTTCAGTGGACAAACAATTAAGACTTGTTCTGCAAAGCCATTCATTTCTGCCATGTGCATTCAACACCCTATTACAAAATACAAACACTACACTTTGCAACAACCATCCATTTGCACTAGTTCAGTGGTTCTGACATTGACAAAAGCATGACAAATGCAGCCTTACGTTGTGACATACTTTATAAGCTCAATATTTAACTGCATTAGTAAAACTGATCTAGCTGGATTTTTGAAGAGCGAAAGTGGCATCTAATGGTTGAAAAAGCATGAAATAATCCACGTACACAGAATATTTGTGCCTGCCACATGTGCTTAAAGGCATTGATCCACATTCAAGTGGATTGCAGCAACCCATTGTCTCTGAAGAAAAACAGTTCCATTAGTCATTTTGTGCATTGTTCTTTTGAAGTGCTTGGTAGAGTTCAGTGAATGCTTGGGTGCAATCTTAAATGCATGATGTTTTGAATTTCATTTGGGCCTTCTAGCTTCTGCTTTGTACTCAATTAAAGCTTCTGTATCAACCAATGTTTCTAATAGCTATAGACATTTTTCCAAATGTAGGGAGCTTGTAAAACCATGGAATGATTCTTTGCTTTTCTTTTCAACATTTAACTTCAGTATTTTACATGTTCTACATGCCTTGTCAGGGGCAACAAATCTGATTTATATATTTATACTTTGCAATTTTTAACAGATATTAATTACTTCAAACCCATTTAGTAAACAGTTCCTAAAGCAGTCTTGGATTTTGGAATGTTATTGGTTGGGACTTTTGAGTTGATTTCAGAATATGTCCTCCCGTGAGGAGTTCCTGTCTTCCACTGGTTCTTCTCCTTTTACAAAAGAAGGAATTCTTTAAGTTTTGGGACTATGGTAACATCCCTTCAGTCCAATGAATATTACTGGAGGTGTAAAAAGAGATGCATGTGAATTTTACTTTCCAAACATAGTTATGAAGATTTTATTATTTTAATGTGAAATCATATAAATGATTAATTTGCTCTTGGCATAGGAAAGAAAAAAAGTACAAAGAACTTGAAAATAATTGTTATTTTGTTGAGCTGTAAGGTTTGGGTTTTTGTCACACTGAAATTATTGTTTTGCCCAAAGTTCTTAGAATAAAATATGTTCCTGCAGAGTTGAGGATGAAATAGTGCTGGTGACTTTCTATATGGTTCTAATAGACCTGCTGTATAGTTTAGGTGGTGATTAAATGTAATTTAGTGTAGCAAAATGTTAGGCAAAAAGATTTAAGGATTACAAATCTAAGTAGAAACACAATTGGGATGCTTACACCATCTGGACAGAAATATTTGTTGATATTAAAAAGACAGAAACAGAGCATTAGAGTGAAATATGTGGGAGTATATGGTGCTTTCCACATTTCCCAAAGTTATTTGTTGTTCACTTTAAAGCAGTCAAGCACAGTCCCTCATTTGAGTACTAGGGGAAGAGGGCTGTACTCTGCAGTTCCTCCTCTGCAATATCAGTGGACCCGTGGCATATGCTTCCCAGCAGCCACAGCCTTTGCTGCCTTGCTCTGCACAGCACAGGTAAGAATCTTCTCCATCATGAATTGCCACTGAGCAAAGAGAGCATCTGGAACAAAGTGCCAGCCTCCAAGCCATGTTCATGGGCTGCAGTTGGTCCAGGGCTAGCCAAGGTTGAGCTAAAACTTTTTTGGGAATGATAATTTAATCCTGATAGCTGCAGTTACAAATGGCGACACTAGGGAGAGGAATCTGAGTGATTTTTTGAATGGCATTATCACATCATCAGAGTAAACTATCAAGACAAACACAGTTTTGAGGTGCCCTTCGAATTGAAATTTAGATTTATGACTTCAGCAAGTTGAGCTCATGGAGCTTGGAGAAAACTTTATTTCATACACATTTTATCAGCCTTCTTTTAGGACTCCGCATTTGTTGATAAAACCCTTATGCTTTAAAATGTATTTGCCTTTAAGTTACCTTTGGACAGCAAATTAGATGCTTCTTCTGTGACTGCTGTCTGTGGCTGATGTTGTCTTGGTGATAAACTACGGGAAAAATGCCCTGACTCCTTAGTTTGGATCAGCGTCAGCCACCTACTGTGTTCCCTGCCTAAATTTACACTTGTGAGCAAAGGTTGTCCCAGCGCAACCTTTTTTCAGCATGTTTTAACGCAGCAGTGCCTGACAGACCCTTCGTGCTGCCGTGCGTGTTTGTCATCCACAAGTATCAAAGATAAGCTGACGGCAGTTTTGATGTGTTCTGGTACATTCTTGTAGCTGGGCCTGGCCTGCTTATCTACATCGGTGTAGTGAAATTTTGGTTTCAGTTGAGAATAGATCGAGTGCCTACTCCCTGAATGACGCTGTGTAACTTGAAATGGAGGTAGGCTGAGCACAGCAGTGGTTTGTGTGCGTTTGGGGCTGGGACTGCAGTCAGACCAAAGGGCCAGGAAGGCTCAACAGCTGTGTCATGTGATTTTCTTGTATCCAGAGATTGTAATTTCATGTGCGATTTTTTGTTATTAAGCTGACAAGGAACAAAGCTATTGGTTACGTAAACGTTCCAGAAATAAAGAACATCTGACCGTTTCTTATCAAGGAATAAAATGGCTGAAGGCACCCAGGAAGAGGAAAGCATGGATGCATTTTAAAGGCTAAATCCACCTGATGTTTTTTAAAAGGACAAAAATCAGCACAAATCACACTGCTAGGCCTTTTTTTTTCTTTCCTATTCAAGGAAACAACTGCTCAAGCTGAACTTGAGTGTCCCTCTTTATTAGTTTAATTATAATCATTGGAGATTACGCTCAAAAAAATTAGAAATATTTATTTCAGGTCACTGAAACCTGTGTGAAATGTGGCTTTTTTCAGCTCTTTCTTTCTCTCCTGTCTCTCTTTTTCTCTCTCCTTTCTTTCTTTCATAGCATTTTGGTTGAAAATACTGTGGTACTAAGATACTTGCTTCTTGTTTTGGTATTTGATATTAATTTTGATACTAATTCCAAAAATCTGGTTCTACAGTTGTACAAGCGTTCTTATTCTTGCTCTGTTTGCAAGTCCAACTTAATGTTGCTGTAGTTTTCAGACTTGAAGCTTTACTACAGTAAAGCAATACTGTCTGATACATTTTGGATTTAGGCAACAGAATCCAAAATGCCAGTAGTGGAATTAAATCTTTGGTTTTCATTACCCCTCTGCTTTTCTAACAGCTGAATCATTTTCTTTTTGTTGTTTTTATTTCTTCTTTACAGCAATGCGGCCACTTAGCATGTCTTACAGTTTTGACTTGTCAGGTAAAAAGGTGCAGCAACACCTGACGTGGTCATTGTGCTTATTGTGAAATTTGTTCCATCTGTTTGTTGAATTCCCATGTAAGAAAGAAACTTGAAGGGATTCTTCCAAGGTATGGTCAGCAAAAATAAAAATTAAGATTAATTACTTGTGTTAATACCTACATTTCCTCTGCTGTGAAAGTATACCTAGGAACAGGAAACAGCTGTATTTCATCTGAAGTAAAGTGTTGGCATTCTATTTAAATGAATAACCTTCCTAAGGTAGCCTGGAGCTATTCCAGATTCTAAAAAGAATTCACTCTCACCTTCAAGTTCGGATTGCTTATTATTTATTAATCTGACCTTGGTGTCTTTACCGGCACTTTCTGACTAGATTGTTTTCTGCAAGATTTCATTTCTCATGAGCACCCAAAAACTATTTTGAACTCTTCTGCCTTTCTAAATTTAATGAACTACACCACTAATCTGGAAAGGATCTGTCAATTGTACCGAGTATTTTTAAGTAAATATTTTGAGAGTTATGAAATCAAAGATGTTTGCTCAAAAGAGACTAAACCCTCCTGCTTTGCTAGTTAATGAAGTAACTTGCAAAGATATGCTGGTACCAGCTGACATAGAGAAATTCAATAGCTGATCCTTCATCAACCATCTAATACCAAATGTAAAGGCTTTTCTTAGTGGACCATTAGTTAGAGCATGCAGTGGCTGTACAAACATGTTCTAGTTCAGAATAGCAACTTCAGAGAGAGTTTGTGCTAGCTGTACAATAAATTTGGTCCTCCCTCTTGTACACTAACTTTCCAGGGTGCTCCCAAATGCTATCATTGAGGCTATCGGTATTTTACATTAGCCTCAAAGATTTGTTCACTGAGGAAGTCTACTATGCTAGCTCTTAGCTAATTTCCCCTGGGTATCTCCTGAAAAAAAAAAAAAATCCACGCTCTCATTTTGTGAAGAAGCAACACCAGCTATATCATTCCCTTATCTCCTTCCAGTTGCACATGGAAACATCTCATCCAGGGATTATGCAGTGCTTTCTTCCTCTGTTTCTCAACCCATCCTCTAACCTCTCTTTCCCTTAGAAAGGCATAATCTGATTGAAATGATTTAAAAAAAAAAAAAAAAAAAAAAAGTTATTTGATTACCATGATACAATCAAATACAATAGCTTTGTAATACAGAAGTG